AGGCTTACTTAGAAAATAGCACTCTCTCAACCTTTCCCACAGCCTAAGAAGAAGAAAGCTACTCTTGGCCTTAAGCTGGAGACTCCCTGAGAGGCGGCGTGTGTAGCCGTATGCTCTCTTCTTGCTGCACCCTTCAAGTGGGGAAGAAAAATAGAAGGGAGGGAGGGACTAGGTAAGAATCATGAAACAAAAACAAAAACTAATAATACGACTGAAACTTGAGCACACTGTGCTGAGTGAAATAAGCCAGTCGCAAAAGGACAACTACTGTATCATTCCACTTTTATAAGATGCCTAGAATTGTCAAATTCGTAGGGACAAAAGGTAGAATGCTGCCGAGAACTGGAGGGACAGGGGAATGGGGAGTTCATGTTTAGTGGGGACAGAGTTTCAGTTTGGGAAGATGAAAAAGTTCTGGAGCTGGATGGTGGTGATCAGTGTGAGTGTACTCGATGCCACTGAACTGTACACTTAAAAACGGTTGAGACGGTGAATTTAGCATTATGTATATTTACCACAATTTTAAAATCTTTAAAGAGCAAATATTAAATAAAACAAAGAGTGGCTTGATGTTGATTCAAGACCTGAGTATGATATAAACAAATGTGTAATGCTAGGTCGCCTTGGAACACAAGTTCCAAAAGTCCAGAAAGTGCTAATTATCACTTAAGATCCCACCAGATACTCCATACCATCCACGGCCTGTGGGAAAGGGCCCAGGCCCACTTGATCCTGTTCCCCCCAATACACCCTGCTTCTCCCTCCATAACGGGAGCCACTGTTATCCCCACTTACCCCTCCCACGGCCCTAGGCTCTGTCCCGCCTCCTGTCCCACCCACGGGCTGACCCCCGTCCAGCTCCTGCTGACTATTAGGGCCATCCCTTAGTCTGTTAGGATGCTAGAACAAAATGCCATAGGCTGGATAGTTTGTAAATAATAGAAATTTATTTCTCACAGTACGAAAGGCTGAAAGTCTCAGATCTGGGTGCCAGCATGGTGGGGTGAGGCCCTCGTCCAGGTGGCAGACTTCTCATGGTGTCCTCAACATGGCAGAAGGAGTGAGGGAGCTCTCTGGGGTACCTTTTATAAGAGCACTAACCCCACGCATGAGGGCTTCCCCTCAGGACCTAATCACCTCCCAAAGGCCCCACATCCTGATACCATGACATTGGGTGTTAAGATCCCAACTTGTGAATTTTGGGGGACACAAACATTCTGACCATAGCAAGCCACTTTGTAAGGCTTGGTGTCATCAACCACAGAATGAGCGTTGGACTACATCTAAGCTCCTAAAGTTAGGATCTTTGAAAGTCGTGATAAGAGTTTACAGCTAGTTTTTAGTATCAAAAACCTTTGTGACTTGTTAAATCATAAATTGATCTGTGATTTGGGCGCACTGGCTAACTGAAAGATTACTTTGTTTAACTTGGACTGGAATGACATCATCTCAGGGTGATAACTGTATCTCTCACATGTTGCTTGGAATTCTGGCTGGCATAGGCCAGCTGGAAAAATAAGTGAATTATGATTTATTTTGGTTTGACAGATAAAATCTTTCAAAGCATGGTGCCCACCAGGAGGGTGATTCATGGGCAATCCCAGTGTCACCACTGTTGTTCCCCCCAGGTCTAGATGACCTTTAAGTCGCTTCCAGTATCAACCTGCTAAGGCCGTGGTCACAGCTGTTTATTTGGACTAGAGGAGTGAGAAGGGCTCATAGACACAGCAAACACTCCCAAGGGACCAGGGCCCTGTGGACACTGGTCAGACATTTAGAAAGTACTATTGTCCTTGTCAGCCTTCCCTTAGTGCACAGACTGCCCATCTGCTATTCCCTGACTACCTAGGTTCCCATCTCCGGCCCCACAGGTGCCACACCATGTGCTAAACTTTCTGAAGTCTGAACTGCAAATCTACACCCCTCTCCATGTCCCATTCCCCCGGGACTCAAATGCTTGATCTACTCCATGTTTAGCGAGTGTTCATGTGTTCAGAGACAATAAGTTAATAAGGGCCTTCCAGGCACGGTGTCGTTCCCTAAAGAAGTAGCTCTGGTCAAAACAAGCAAACACAGGCCCTCTCATGAGTACACAACAGCAGCCTGTAAGCAGATGGTTTAAATGCAATGCATGTTGTCCAACTGTGAGCCACCCATGAGGACGAACTCTCCATCACGGGGTGATGAAGCCCGCGTTGGCCTCTCACTCACCTGCGGTGAGATCGCAGGGGGTGTGCTTCAGCAGCTAGGCAGAAGAAGATGGTGGAAACCTTTTGGGCGGCATGTGATATCTCACTTTTTTCCAGAACTTGGTCTTTGCACACAGGGACTGCTCCGTGAAGTTCCCGCTCCAGCAGATGGACCCATGTTTCTGTTTGATGTACTGAATTGACTCTGGCATGGCAGTATAGTCCTTGACTTTCTCCAGCTCAATCAGAATGACCTTCATCCCATCCTGGATGAGAGCATTGTAGATTGCAATTTGTTCTTCTGACATGTTCTTTAATAGGTCGAAGGCCAGCAGTTCGGGAATTATGATGATGATGAGTCTCCTGCACAGCTTAATGTTTTCATCGATGACATTGGCCACAGCTGCAAATAAAGAAAGAAGATGCAGAAAATCTCATGATTCAAACAGCCCAGATCTTAACGGTTTTGAAAATATTAGAAATGGGCACTGAGAAGGGACTTTAAAATAAACATGACTTAGGAATGGATTAACAAGAGTTTTTGTTTGTTTGTTTGTTTGTTTGTTTGTTTGTTTAACATTTATCATCTCCTCTGTGAATTCTTCCTGACGTTTCCCCCAAAATTGGTCCTCTGTATTCACGAATCACGTTTTGATAGTTGTTGGTATGTCACTTTCCTCAGCCCACCCCCTCCATCCACAGGAAACTGCTCAGAACAAGGATCTTATCATGCCTAGCTTTGTATCCTGAGACTTAGCTAAAAGTCTCATATAAAATAATGAAAACTTTAAAAAAATATTTTTTAAAGGATAAGAAAAATGTAGTTAGCTCAACTGTCATATTAATTTCTGTTTGTTTTCCTCTTGTGCTTTATTACCATTTAAATGACCAAGATTTATAGAACTAACTTAAAACTAAATAACATAACCTAATGATTTCTTGGGGAGTGGAGGGAAGAGTTCTTGAATTATCCAGCTATGGATAAAACTTGGTCTTTTTTAGAAATAAAGACCAAGTTTTTTTTCCTCCCTATATTTAGGATATAGAAATAGACTGCAACTGCATTATTTCCAGTAGCCAAGATATGGAGACAACCTGGGTGTCCATCACTGAATAAATGGATAAAGAAGAGGTTATATATATATATATATATATATATATATATATATATATACACACACATATATATATATAATGGAATATTACTCAGCCATAAAAAAGAATGAAAATTTGCCATCTTCAACAAAGTGGATGGTCCTAGAGGGTATTATGCTAAATGAAATAAGTCAGACAGAGAAAGACAAATACCATGTGATCTCACTTATATGTGGAATCTAGAGAACAGGATAAATGAACAAACAAAATAGAAGCAAGATTATAGATACAGAGAACATTTTTATGGTTGCCAAATGGGGTGGTTAGGGGGAATGGGTGAAGGGGGGAGGGAATTAAGAGGTACAAACTGGTAGTTACAAAATAGTCATGGGGATGTAGAGTATATCATGGGGAATATAGTCAATAGTATTGTAATGCCTATGTATGGTGTCAGATAGGCGGGTACTGGATCTATTGGGGTGATCACTTCATAAGTTATATAAATGTCTAATCACTGTTTTGAACATCTGAAACTAATATGTCAATTGTAATTGAAAAATCGAAAAATATATTTTTTAAAAGTCTGCAATCTCCCCAAGAGCAGGCTCTTCTTCTCTTTGGTTTATTTTAATATTTCTAGGACGTAGAACATTATCTGGCACACAGCAGGTGCTCAATAAATAGTTGTTGAATAAGTGAATAAATAAATATTAAAATGCTTATGAAATGAGAGCTCTTCCACATGTTTGTGGCAAGCACTGGATCAAATTTTCATTTCCTCATGGAGGATGACTGCATAACTTGAAAAGTTGTAGGCAGAGATACATCTGTGGTCTCACTGTGGATATGACCAGCCTGCAAATCCAAAGTCCCTGTAAAATAACCCAGAGTAAGTAACTACCAAATGCTATAAAGAAGTAATCTTGGTTTCCGGGTGACTAGAAAAAGGTGTTTATTTCAAATTTCAGCCATTCACTGTATAGCCTTCAAAGGAGGAAATGTTTGTCCATTGAGTGTCTAATAGGTACTGAGCTCCATACTCAGGTTTAAACTCATTTAATTTTTCAGTCAAGTCAGGGAAGCGTTCTTATCCCCATTTGAAAAATGAGACAACTGCAGTTCAGAGATGTTAACTGCAGTGCCCAAACCTACACTCCTATTAAATAGGAGAAGTAAATACATAATTTCTATTTTATTTAGGTAGATGAAGATTGCGGGGGGGGGGGAGAGCAGTGAGGTTTATAAAATCANCCACACATCCTTGATTATAATATCGTCATGTTTTCACAGTTACTCCAAAATGAGCAGTGGGACTTGTGTCATAAAGGGCCATCAGTTGCCCTTCCCTGGAAGCCACCACTGTTGTCTCTACAAGACTGGCCAGCAGCCAGACTCCCACCTCAGCTTCTCTGTGCCAACAGAGTTTGGGCTGGGCGCCTGCCTGGGAGACACGGCCTCAGAAAGTGCGCTTACGTACTGCTCCAGCTTCGTGAGCGCACTGCAGAACAATTATGGAAGAAGCCGTGGGCAGGGGGTGACCAAGCAGCAGAACCAGTTTCTCTGGAACTTGGAGAAAACATGCTCCTTCCTACGCATCGGAGAAGAGGAACGGCCCCTTTCTTCCTTACCACAGTCCAAACCTGTGCTGCCAAAGGAGGAGGCTCTAGGAAGGAGAGAATTCAGAAAGAGGAAGAAGGAGAGAGGAAGAGAGAACCTCCCTGTTCTCAGAACCCACCACACGCATGACTTCCTTCTTCATCCTCCAGGCCCCACTAAAAGGTGTGTATAAGGGGGGTGGAGAGGGAAAATGCACTTTCTCCTTGAATTTCCATAGCACTTTCACTTTTAAAATACTCATTAAAGAGCTTATCACAACCTGCTTTAGGCCACACCATGTTGCAAACATTTTGAGGCCAAGGTTGAGCGATCAGGTTTTATAAAGGAACACTTCTGTTTTCTGGAATTTTGATGCATAAAACTTCTGATATGCCACTTTCAAAGTATGCCACAATAATGTCACAGTCTCATTGCAAGAGCATTATCAGACATTCCATCAGCTCTTCCCTAGATTTCATATCGCATTTCTCTGTTTAATACCACTCTGTTGCCTCATACCAAACATTTATTTAATGCCACTTGTCTTTCATATGTGTTTCTTTACCATCATTTTGAGCACTGTGAATAGTACGTAACCCATGGGGACATTACCTGGGGGTTTTAACATAAAGTATGCTGCGGACACACCAGCATGACACGTGAAAGGATGGCCATAATCTTCTCTTTTCACTCCTAAGAAAGTTATGTTCACTGTGTAAAAATTATATTCCGGAAAAGGAATGGAATATCTATAAAAGAAAAAAGCCAATCATTAGCACATGAGTCATATTTTACCCAACATGTTTTCTAATCTCTAGTCTGGAGAATACGGTTCTTTCCTAGAGAACACCTTGTGCTATCATTTTACCCTACAGATATGTCGCCGAGTGGCTCAATGAGGTGTATGCATTGTGTAGTTCCAAATGTGCATTATCTTCTGGACAGCGACAAGGAAATGTGGTTCTGTTATTTCCAGACACCATCCTCAGCCCTAAAAGGCCTTCCCCTCTTCCTCTCCACTTACCCTAACTTATCTACCCTGCCAGGCCCAACCCAGTTCTTGTGCCCTCTGACTTCATGAGTCTTGTTTTATACCACTCAGTTTATACCACCATAAATTGGGTTTGTACCCTCAATTGGTTAATAATTATGCTCTGTCTTCCTCCAAGAGTCCCTGTGTTGCTGCAGTTTTCCTATTTAAGCCTTGAAGGCCTCTGTTTTATCACGTGATGAAGGAGGATTGAGACTGGCTTTAAGCAGGAGTTGACAGAAATCCATCTTGTTGCCTGAAGGCCATACTTCACTTCAGGCCTCGTCTCTAACCAGGATGTAGCAGGATTGATCACCTGAGCATCTCATGCTTCTTTGAAACAGACACTTGCTCACACACAGCACTGAAAAGATCTTTGAAAGACAAAGCCAAAAGGAGTGGTGAGGAAGTAGTGAGGGTCATCTTTAAGAACAGTACTCACACCAAAATCACTTAAATGGAGAAATTCTCACTAGCTTTTGAAGAAGCCAGAAAAACAGAACACGTACTCGATTCCTTCTTGAACTCGTCCGGATTCTTTATAGTAAACATCCACCAAAGTGCCATTGACTCTCCAGCATCGTAGATTCGTATTATCTTTCGTGTCTGTTATGTTGCAGTTTACAACAAGGGTGGAACCTATAAAAATTGAATTCACAAATATCACATGAAAATTCTACCAAAATGACCTGGCTATCAAATGCATCTTGCTTTTGAGTCTTGACTATCTTTCGATTACCAAGAATACACCCCTGAGGTCAATGTTAATCTACTTTATTCTCTTCCGGGACAGAGATCGTAAGGGATAAGTGACCATGCAGGATGTTTATGGTAAAGAGATGTGCATCTGCTGCCAGCTTCTGACCAATGCTTTCC